ACGGTTATCCTATTTTAAAAAAACCACCCTAATATTAATGGTACAAGCATTCACACCAAACCATAAACAATAAAGAAAATGTAAAAGACAATATATGATTGCAATATGAGGAGGGAACTTATTTCCACAGGGAAACAAATTTCTGAGTAAGTTTTCAGGAGGCTACAGATAGAGCATAGAAATATTTGCTTTCTGAAAATGAAAAAACAATTTTCCAGTATTCTTTTGCATTAAAACGTCCATTCTCCTCTTAGTTCCAGAGCTGTAGGATATGATGAGTACATATCCCGTGTGTGTGTGTGTGTGTGTGTGTGTGAGAGAGAGAGAGAGAGAGAGAAAGAGAGAGAGAGAGAGAGAGAGAGAGAGGGTCAGATTTCTGTAGACAATAAGATCAGTGTTTTAAATTCCACTCAATGTGGCAATTCTTTAGACTCAATATAATTGCTAGCCTTCAGAAGGTTCTCATCACTGCTACTGAGTGAATCACTCAGAAAAAATGTGAACTGATTCACTTGTTCAGAGTGAAATAGAATCCCATGCATACTCCGCAGATTCTCTTGGATTCCTCTAATTTGGGGAGGTTGGTGACACAATTTGAACCAGGTTCTATCTGTCAGCCATACCTTAATCACTTCTCCTTCTGAACATCTGGGGCTTTCAACATAATTACTGTACAACATACCAAAAGACGGAATCAAGTTCTTAGTGTATAATGGTGATCTATACATTATTTATATTTTGACTAAGCAAATGCACTGTTTTTACATGAAAATGTGAAAACTGCTGCAACTAGTGTAATGTCATCACCCAGTTTGGTTGGTTGAAACTATCATGTTAAACTTCCTGCAAAATGGTGATTGCGGTAATGTCTCTTCAAGGAGTTCAATGGATGTGTCAGTCTGTCACTTGCGGTGGGTCCTGAGATGAGACCAAAGACCAATTTTGGACCTGCCTCCCCATCCACATGCCAGTGCCACACGTGAGGACAACTGTAGATGAATGTGCATTTTTAAAAAAGCTTTATATCTCATGTGTTTCTCCTTGATTGCAGTAGTGTGAGCTCTCAAAATCTTTCAGCTCCAGGGGGAAGAGATACTACCATCGCCTCCTGTCATGGGTGTGTTTGAGATCAATATTGCAAGACTGAAGGCAGGACATTTCTCCTGAATTTGGCATAGTGCAGAGCTCATGCCTGAAGTATCTCACTCTGGACTGAAACCACACTGGCTCTCAGGTGGTAGCTTATCTGCAAATTGATCCATTAGCCAGTTCAGCATGACATGGGTGAGTAGCTCTCCTGCAGCGGCACAGAGCAAGAGGCAATATGACTGTCACGAGACGTGTGATGATAGAAAGAAAGGCAAAGGTGAATAATGTTAATATCTGGAAAGCTCCTCCGGTGCCACCGTCTTGTTCCAAAACCTCACATACAGACCAGTGAGCTTCCTGATTGGTCCCCATATTTGGACTCATGACTTTCAGTCTGACATTTCCTTGACAGCTTTCCATGCTTTAAATATGTGAAGTGGAATTGAGAGTCTGTCTTGAATATGATGTTGTTCAGGATCATCAAGTAGTGATGCTGACCTAGTTCATTGGCAGTTTTAGGCCTGCTAACAGTGAAAAAGGGGGGTAATTGCCCCGGGGCCTAGAGATTCAAAGGGGCCTGGAGTGTCCAGTCACTGCTACTGCAACAGCTATGTTGGCTGGAGCTCAGGCCCTTTTGGACCTTTTGAATTGCCTCTGGAGCGCCGCTCCATGTGGCTCAGAAGGCTGGGGGATGGGGTGCCACAGTTTGGGTGGTGCAAAGGGTTGAGTACCCTTGACCCCACCCCTTCCAACCTCAGCCCTACCCATTTCAGAGGCATGGAGCCAACCTTTTCCCCACACACCTGCCCCAGGGTCCACTGTGGCTGTTGGCCCTGCTGGGCAGTTCAAAACCTTTAGGTGTTCAGCTCACCGGAATTTGTTAACAAATTGATCAGCAGCAGAGACTTGCCCACGTTCCAGATTGCAGGCCCTCCACAGTCTTCTACTAATCAAAAAACCTTTGAGGTCTCTTTGGCCTGCTGTTGATTAAGTTTTTCATTTCCCACCAGCTAGCCTTCACGTGGTGAAACTTAGCTTGCACATTACAATTTGTCATCATGGAACATGTCATCAAGGGTGCATATGTACTAAATGACTGTAACAAAATGTATAGACATCAAGGCTGTGTCTAGACAGAGGGATGTAAATTAGGCACTTTGAAACTGCAAATGAAGCCAGGATTTGAATTTCCTGTGCTTCATTTGCATAATCATGTAATGGCGCTCTTTCGAAAAAGTGCTATTTTGAAGTAAAACCGCAGCAACTTCCCTGGGGCTCAGCCATTCAAAAGGCCCTAAGGCTCCCAGCCATGGTGGCCAGAGCCTTGGGACCTTTAAATTGCTCCTGGAGCACCACACAGCACACTCCCGGCAGCTCTGAAGGCTGGTTGTGAAGGGAGGGGAAGTGCAGCACAACGTAGTCCAGGCAGCACTGAGGGCTTTAAGAGCAATAGGCATCTGGCATGAATTTATAGGCATCTAGCTCCCCTCTGACTCTGAAAGCCTTGTTGTTTAACTGTGAATTGCATCCATCCCTATTCAAATTGATAGTATATTTTAGGAGGGAGGGAGGCAGACATTTCCGCTCTTGGAATTGTCTAATCTATACCAACTTTTATTTTTCTGGCATGAGACTGCAGCCAATCAACCCGGCAGGAAACATGTACATGCTACTGCTTGTTTATGTTGAGCAGGCAAGCTGAAGAATTGCGCCTTGCCCCCAAAGTGAACAGCAAGGAGGTTTGTGATGCCTAGAGGTCCTGTGGGAGTTCATTTCCCTGGCTTGGACCAGTGCCCTTAAGTTCCATTCTGCTTGATGAGCAGAACTGACAACCACCGCCTTCATCGTGAAGCTTTAGGTGATCTTTTAAGAACTGCTAGGCATGGGCCATTGAGTGTAGATAACAGAAAATAGGTAAAACATGCTGGTAGTAGCTGTGTTTCTGAAGAGATGTGCTATCGTGTTTTGTATGGATATATCCCAGCGAGACAGCTACCGTGTAGGTGTGTAAGCAGACATTTGTATTCAGGCAATTAATGCCTGGGAACTTATACATTTTGTAGTACAGGTTGGATCTCCCTGATTCATCATCCTCAGGACCTGACTGGTCCTGGATGAGTGATTTTGCTGGACCAGGGGTGGTCATTTCTGGACCCCCTTCCACCAGCCCCCTCTAGCCCTGGCCCCGACCGCTGTCCTCCCAGTTGGCTCCTCCCTCTTGCTGGCCTTTGCTACCCTGTCAGCCCCCGCTGCTCTACCGGGTATCCCTGCCACCTCTGCATATTGGGCTCCTGCTGTTGCGCCCTGCTCCTGCTGCTGCGCCAGGCAGCCCTACTACCTCTGCTTACCGGGCTCCCATTGCCACACGAGACAGCCCTGACCTCTGCTTACCAGGCTCCCATTGCCACACGAGACAGCCCTGCTGCCTGTGCATATACCAGGCTCCTGTTGCAGCATCCGGCAGCCCCGCTGCCTTCATGCACTGGTTCCCACTGCAGAGCCTAGATCCTGCTGCCACCCCGGGCAGCTTCCCAGGGGGTTCCTGCAGCTGCGTGGGGCTCCTGCTGTTCTGCCGGGAAGCCCCGCTGCCACACGTGGGGCTCCCGCTGCCCTGCTGGGAAACCCCACTTCCCTGCCAGTTTGCAGGGTTCCTAGGCACTAACCCTCCACTGGGATTCTTCGGGCCTGGAATGTCTGTGGTCTGGATGTTGCTGAACCAGAGATTCCCAGTTAAGAGAGTTGCAACCTGTACTTGAGATTTTTACCTCTCCATTTTTATTTTGTAAGAGACAGTCCCTTGCAAAAGGTGAGAGTAGTGTCGTAGCATCACACACAGGCTACATATCTATTTGTGGTGGCTGAATTTACTCACATAGATATATTTGGCCCAAATTTTTGTTAGCAGAATTTTCTCTCACTTAAGCTTATCCTACGATTCAATTAAGAGGGCCATTATACTGTATCATTTGAGATTTAGGTGTGGTAGGAGAGAAACAAGAAACTCATTCAGGTCCTCTTACAAAAATGTATTTTAACAGGCCACCATTTGCTCAGTTAAAGGAGAACACCTATTTGTGGAAAAGGTGAACATCCAGACAGGCTCCAACCACTTCTTAAACTCACTAGAGGAGACAGACTATTCACACTATTTATTTCTAACTCAACAACAGAATCTTCTCCCTTCCTATCTATATAACCCCTGGGTCTGACCAAGCCATGTGCTGGTGCTTTTAAGCCCCTGCCAGCCTAGGAACTGGATAAAAGAGATAAGAAAGGCAGCCTAGAGTGCTAACCAGAAGGCAACCCCACCAGCATATAACTTGAATCAATACTTTTCACCTCATTACTACCTTCCACCATCGGTGCCATTCACGTGCCATGGAGAAGTATGTAGCATGAAAGCTGGGGAAGTTTGATTATGATGTATCTCTCTCAATATCACTGTGTGATGCTGCAAAACCACTTTGTTTTGTATTAAGGCATATGCTCCCTTTGGCTTTTCCCCCTGTGTTTAGGGTTTTAATAATTGTGTGTTTACAGTTACTTGGTAGACATAAAAAAGGCAAAGGGACTTTTTTTCCCCTCCAGATGATTATAACTAAAGTTAGGCCCAAGAGATAAGATTATAGGATAGATAAGCTAGGTAGGAGAGGTAGTCAAAATAGGAGATAAGGTTCACCTACTCAGATAGTGTGACTCAGATAAAAAAATGAGTAAACAAATCACAAATAGCCATTTCATTTCTGGATCAGGAGAGGTCCAACAATATAACATGTGTGTTAAATTCCTTTATGCAAGAGGAGAATAAAAGTCATTCTTCTGTGAGTCAGGTCGATTTTAGTTTTACAAATACAAAGAGGTAGTTCAATACAGAGGGTGACCTTTGTTAAAAGAAAAAAAAAATTCAATACCTGGTATTCACTAGCAGCAGGTATCTTGATGCTGGCTTTTAAATGAAGCAAGAATCCTATTGTTATTTCCTTTTGCTTTAATGATGAAGTTTTACTTTCAAGTTGGTGTGTAGTCTCAGGCAATGAATGTTCAGTCCCTCCTTGGTACTTGATTCTGGGTCACTTCTTTTAGGTCCCTTGTCCTACCAGGAGGCAGTGTTTACTGCTAACAGAAGAAGTGCAGAAACCTGAAATGAATGAAATGGCCTTAAGAGCAACAAGATTGATTGTGAATTTGTAGGCATCTGGCTCCCCTCTGACTCTGAAGGGCTTGTTGTCTGTGAATTGCATCCATCCTTATTCAAATGATAGCATATTCTAGGAGGGGGGGAGGGAGACATTTCCACTTTTGGAATGGTTTAATATACACCAACTTTTATTTTTCCTGCATGAGACTACAGCCAATCGACCTGGCAGGAAACATATAGACTGCCTCATTCTGTCCAGGCACGGATAGCCATGATTAGATTATTGTTGGTCAATAATATTCTGTATCTATCGAACTTCTATAAGCTCGCTGCTTAAGCATCTCAACACCCAATTTGGCATAAGGAATTATCTTCATCCCCCATTTTACCAGTGGGGAACTGAATCACAGAAAGAGAAAAAGATATTTGCCCGGGATCACTCAGAAAGCCCAGGGTAATTCAGGGAACTAATCCCAAGACATCAGAGTCCAATGGCAATACCCCTTACTTGCCACTGGGCAATTTTTCTTTTCACTAGTAATGAATAATTAAAATCCATGTATTCATGTCTGAACATTGCTGACATCATAGCAGAGTTCTTGGAAGCCTTCTTAACACAGCACTCAGCTGCTGATCTCCCAGAGATCTGCCATATGCCATCTTTGTGTCTCCTCACTGGTTATGGAGATAGATAAATGGTGCTGTGATGACCTGCTGCCATTCCTTTGTCAAAGTTATTTCCACCCCTCCATCCGATGTGACTAAAAGACTACGTCTAGACTACAGAAAAAACTCTGCCACGTCCAGAGAATGCACCTGCTCTTCCGCTTTTTTTTGCGGAAGAGCAGACGCACTCTTTCGGAAGCCCTGTCTTTCTCATTCCACCAGGTAGAAGGGCTCTTCTGAAAGAAGAGGTTTTTCCAAAATTTGGCCCAGTGTAGACAGGCCAAATTTTGGAAAAGTGTCTTCCGACAAAACTATCGGGAAAAGTTATGCAAATTACGGAGCGCAATTTGCATACCTTTCTCTGATAAAACATTGTAGTCAAAATGTAGCCAAAGGCACACATTTACACCTGCTTCCACTGGTCTATGCATTCATTTCTACCTGGTTTTTACTAGGGAAGCCTAAAGACTGAGAGGCCCCATCTTGATAACCACTCAGCTGCTTGGATGTTTATCTGAAGCACATCCAAACAGTTAGAACCATTTGAATCAGCAATAGTAGGTAGAGAACTTCCCCCGAACTTTCTCTGCACAATATATTTGTAGCATAAATACAAAATTTTAAGAAATACTTTACTGATTTTCTCAGAGTTTAATTCAATATTCACTTTAAAATAGGGGCAAAAGTTCTATCTAATTCCTGTTTTATTTAGACTGATTTGTCTGACCTGATGGAGTCGTGCCTATATTCTTTTTTCTTAACATATGATGTTAACTGATCTCTTAATCTAATCCGTTAGCCCAAATCCCACAATCACCTAAAGGCTCTCACATTTAGCCTATAAGGTCACTATTAAAAAGTCTCAGGAAGAGACATTTTTCAGTTCTCTTACTGAAACTTAACCTAAATCCTCTTCATGCCTCACTTAGTTCTTTCTTCTTTTTGCTTTCATAACTTTTACTCTTAAGGAAACTCAAGCTGAGCCTGGTTGTGTATTGCCTTGTCCTCTTTTCCAGAGGGTACAAGCCAGTAAGCGCTTGCAGTGGAGGACTGTTCTCTCATACACCCCCTTGTGGCTATGCAGGTGTGTTACACTCAGCACCCCACCAGGTTCGATCAGTCAATTCTCTGGATTTAGGTTGGTTCAAAAATACGTACTGCCTTTGGGGAGTCTGATTTATTAAGTCTTTTCACTAAGTATAACTTACTTCATTAGTTGCCCCAGGCCACCTCATTCTGTGTTCATGTGAGTGCCCTAATCAGCACGTGCCCTTATTAAGGAAACTCCCCAGTCTAATTCCTGGAGCTGGATCTCTATTTCATATGGCCTTTTTCTCATAACAGAAGTCCCCAGCTCTTCTCTTTGGAGCTGGATTGTAGTTTAACCAGATTAGAGCCTTAGCTAGCTTCTTTCTCAGCTGGCCTCTTTCCACATTCCCAACCCCCATACAGGGCCAGACTAAGGGGCCTGCCCAGGGCAGCTGCCCAGGGCGCCAACCTACAGGGGGCGCCCAGCTCCTGGCGAGCTGCAATGGCTGCCTGGGGCGGGGGCTGTGTTAACCCCCACAGCACTGGCCAGCAGCGCCCTTCCCCCCGCGGCCGCAGGGCCCTGCACGGCCCGACGCAGCCCACCCCGGGCAGCCCTGGGCTGCGCGCCATCAGTGGTGGCCAGGCCAACTGGGCAGCACAGGTGCCATGTGCCTGGAGGTGGGGCCACGCATCCCGGGGGCGGCGCTGTGTGCCTGGGGCCTGGGGCACCAAAATGGCTCGGGCCGGCCCTACCCCCATGAGTTATCTGCAGGTAACTTTCCCCTGCTTGTATCTGTCTGGCTTTGAGAAAAGAGGCAGCATGAAGTTTGGTCCTTTTCTCCCAGCTCATCCCCAATTGGCTAGATGAGTGAGGAGCCTTATTGCATTTATTCCGCAAGGTTCTGAATCCTGGTTCTTGGTTATTAAAGACACAAAAATGGAATTTCCTCCCAAGCACCCATTCATTCCCCAGGTCATATTTTAAAAATCAATCTCTCCTAGGTACTTGTGTGTGTGTTATATTTTATATATATAATAAACATGTCAGGCCTTTCAAAATCTTAAAAGTCTGCACTACCTGATGGGAGCTGGCTGGTCAGTAGGCACCTCCTCCCATACAGGGGCAGATTACCTCATCACAGCTCCATTCTGCAGCCAGGGATACAGGTGTATGCAAATTAAACCTCCTCCTGTCTGACTGGAGAGGTAGGGGGACACAATTCAGTTTAATAAAGTGTCACTTAAATGTATCCCTGAAGTGGAAATGCATAACCTTGTATTTCCTGTCCGTTCAGTTTAATAAAGTGTCGGTTAAATGCATCCCTGAAGTGGAAATGCATAACCTTGTATTTCCTGTCCCTCACACCCTCATTCACTTTTAAAGGCATTTCTAGAGTTGGGGCAGGACTTGGCAATGCAGAATTCTAAGGCTACGTCTACACTGCAGTGCTAAGAGCTGTTTCAATGCAGAACTCTAAGGCTACGTCTACACTTCAGCGCTAAGAGCTGTTCCATATCTTTTGAGCGTGTCTGTTATTTCAAAATATAATGGGCTCGCTATTCCAACATCTCCAGTCTAAACTAAGGATTTTAAGTAAGGGTTAATTTACTAGTCGAGTAGTCAATGGTATTCCATCGACTACTTGACTAGTCAATTGGCACTTCTGCATTCCTTGCTGGGCCTCTTGTACATTTCAAAGGAGGAATGAGGAACTCTGTGTGCAGCCCAGGGCCAGCAGGAAATCCCACTGACTCTGGGCTGCACACAGCATGACAGCTTTGAAATGTACAACAGTTCCCAGCGTGGGTTTTTGTGCATTTCAGATCAGCTGCACAGTCACCCTGGGCTCCATGCTGCACTGCCGATTTGAAATGCCATAATAACATAAGAACATAAAAATGGCCATATGGGGTCAGACCAAAGGTCCATCTAGCCCAGTAGCCTGTCTGCCAACAGTGGCCAGCACCAAGTGCCCCAGAGAGTGTGGACCAAAGACAATGATCAATCAATTTGTCTCCTGCCATTCTTCTCCAGCCTACAGAGGCCAGGAGGCCAGGTAGGAGGATTAAAACAAACACAAGGAAGTTTTTCTTCACTCAGTGCCGTCAACCTGTGGAACTCCTCGCCACTGATTTCACTGGCTGACTCCTGGTTCTTGTGTTATGGAATCTTAGAAAAGGAAAATCTTGGAGTGCCCCCCCCATGAAAACTTTTTGCCCGCCCCTGTTGTAGATAATCCCTGAGAAGCCTGCTTTTAAATATCTCCAGTGATGGAGATTCCACAACCTCCCCAGGCAATTTATTCCAGTGTTTCACCCCCCTGACAGGCAGGAAGTTTTTCCTAATGTCCAACCTAAACCTCCCTTGCTGCAGTTTAAGCCCATTGCTGCTTGTTCTATCCTCAGAGGCCAGGAAGAACAATTTTTCTCCCTCCTCCTTGTAACACCCTTTTAGATACCTGAAAACGGCTCTCCTGTCCCCTCTCAGTCGTCTCCTTACCAAACTAAACAAGCATCTGGTCCCACCCAGCGTGGCTGGTTGTATGTTCTCAAAGAGCATCCAGGTCTGTCCACGGTGCTTTCCATTCCCTCCCTCTGAGGCTCCACTGACCCGCCTTGTGATGTGCCGTAGATACTGTCCCTCCGGCCTCCTGGGGGTTCCCCCATTGGCTCCCCGACTGTAGCTGTTTGCTGCCCGCCAGGCAGTAGTAATCAGTGTCGCGAACCAGAGGAGATGGCCGGAGGTTGGGGGGTGACCCGGGATCAGCTGGAGACTCCCCAGCTGACTGCGGGTTCCGCACGGCATTTCTCCAGAACCCAGGGTCAGCTGGGAATTCCACAGCTGATCCCAGGTTCCACAGAACTGCTGCACTGGAGTCTGGGTTCAGTTGGAGAGTCCCAGGCTCCACACATGGCAGCATTTCAAAGAGACAGGGCTGCATCAGCTGTGTGGCGCTGCCCCTTGGAACACCGTCTCGGCATTTCAAAGCGGCAGCGCTGCACAACTGATCCCAGGCTCAGCTGTGTGGCGCTGTTGCTTTGAAATGACCCCTCTCCCCCCCCCCCTTTGCTGCCTTTATCTGATATAGGCAGCTGGGGGGAGGGAGGGGGAAAACTGAGCGACTTGTCGACTATCTGATAAGCATTTGCTTATCGGATAGTCAACTAGCCCTTAACATCCCTACTCTAAACCTCATTCCTCAAGGAGTAAGGGACGTTTTGGAATAGTGATTTATTTTGAAATAAGTGCTGTGTAGACAGCGCCAAATTTTGAAATAAGCTATTTCGAAATTCACTCAAAATAA